GCCCGGCCCATGGGCTAACAAGGGGTGGGCTGGGTTGAACATTTTGTAGCCCATTATAAAATATGGGCTGGCCCGGTCCTGCTCATATTTTTTCAGCCCACAAGGGTTAGGGCCGGGTTGGGCCGGGCCGGCCCATATTGACAGGTCTACTTGGGATGAGTGCTTGGATTAGGTAAAATCTCATTGGAAAAACTTTGTGTTATCGAAAGAGATGGATAGTTCTACAAGCAACCAAGATGCACTTATTCTCACTTACGTTCAAGACCTGATGAAAATGATCAAATCTTATCAAGAAAGGATGTAAAAATTGGAAGACAATAATAAGCAAATAATGGAGACCATATCTCAATTTGCCATCACTTTTCAAGCTTAACCTGCACATCTTAAAGAGAATGCACTTGATGCAGACACTCCATTGGTTGTAAACACAAATGGGAATGGAGGAAATAGGGAAAATATTGTTGATATGATAGGTGTTTGAAATCCCAATTTGATCAACTCCTTTGTGATAGGTATGCCGGCAACCATTTCTATTATAGCAATCACAATAGTCACTGCCTAAGGTTTCATGACAAAGAAAGAGCTCTAAAGGTTACTAGATCAAAAGAATAATAGCTTAAACTTTTCTAAATTTGATCTTAAGTTGTCTTACTTAGCTAGTATAGTTGCCAAGCCATATACTAAGGACTACACTAGCTTCAAGTTCAAGCAATTCAAGGAAAGACTAACGATGCATAAGAACATGTCATGAAGTTTGTGGAGACCCTTGGAATAACAAAATTGGATGATGACTTGAAGTTGAAAGAGTTCTCCAAATCTTTCACTATAAAAGCTTATACATTGTATGTTAATCTTAGCCATAGTTACATAAATCTTGGAGTTAAATATGTAGGATGTTTGAATAGGAGTTCTTCTTTATTCAAGAATAGAATGTTTGGAGTTAAATGTCACTTTCAATCTCTTTCACATTAGGTTTAGTGTTAACCTCCCTAATGTAAAGTTGAAAGTTCTCCTTTGGTCACATACGACAATGTGAAGTGTGAATAGTATGAAAGATGCATATACCTATAACATTATTATTAAAAAAACTAAGATACGATATATCAATAACAAAATGCTAGCTCACCCAAGCTTACAAGATAGAAAAAAAAATTAAAGCAACAAAAAAATCCTAGCCAATTACGTGATCCCATGAAAAAGGGTCACTATTCTTAATATTGATAAAGGCATCTAATTTTCCTCGCATTTTGACCTCACAGTTTCTCAATGAAGCAATCTTCATTGCAATATCTTCTAACTTAGCTTTCAACAAAGACTTTTCAGCCTCTACTTTAAAAAAAGCTCTAGCTTTAGACACATAATCACGAAGCACTCAAGTTTGAATTCAATGTATAGACATCATTTATATGCTGTAACATTAGTTTTTGTTCTTTAATGAAAAAATCATCCATGGAATATGGACAATTACTAAAATTTTACTCAAAATCTCCATCATGGAAAAAATGGCATTTATGCTTTTGCAAGTGTTTGTACTTCAAACGTCCTTCTCTATATTGCAAATACACTTTAAATATTCCATATGCTGTAATGAAACTTGAAAGTCATGGAAGTCGACTTTCGTACCAATTTGTTAGTATGTGTCATGTGAGTGCCAAAAGAACTTTTGACATCTTTGTACTCTGGTACTAGGAAGAAGAATCACGAGGATTAGGATCAATATTAGAAATAACCTCAACTTTAGAAGTAGTTTTAGCATCTTCAGTAACAATTTCAGCGTTAGGATCAACCTCGACATCAATAATAGCTTTAGTGTTAGGAATAGCCTTAGCTTGAGTAGCCTATGGAGCAAGGATAATGTTAGTTTTAGAAAGATTTGGAACAACATTAGCTTGAGTAATATTTCAACATTTTTTTACTTGATCTATATAAACATTTCAACATATTTCTACCTAATCAATATTTAGAAATCTTTAACCAAGTTTACTTCTACCTTTGTAGGTACTCTTGCAAAATAGAAGAGAATAAAAAAGGAAATAAATATAGTAAAAAAAAAAGCAAAGGGTAAACTTTCTCCTCAATAGACTTATTTCTTTTTTATTCAATGAGTAAAACCAAGAAGAGAAACGCAAGTTGTAACCCTTCTCCTTCATATTCTTCTTTATTTACATTTTCTTCTTTCTAAGAGTATGAAGCATAAGGATAGGATTATCTAATGGCATAACTTAAGATCTCCATCCTTCACCAGACTCCCTCTAGTAAGCAAACCATCAAGAAGTATGAATATCAACTCTATTAAAAGCTAGGATAGTATTCACTTAAGTTTATCCAAATGAAGTTAACGTCATGTCAAAAGAAATAAAGAAACATAAGAAGAAAAGTTGATAGGTGAAGAAAGATTAAGCAAAGCTGATTAGTCATACTTAAATTGGTGCACCACTGTATAAGGTGAATACACTTTGTCGGAGAGTGAGTCTTTATCTCCACTTGGACTAGCACTCTTAATCATAGAAGATAATGAGAAACTATTAACCCATACACTAAAGTTAACTCTTCCTGAGTTCTTTCTTCTAGAGTATAATGGATGGTAGTCATAATAAATCCCAAGATCACTAAATCCATTATTAGGTTACACACGAGGTTTGGGATTGAATTTTTTTGTCGCAACTATCACTACAAAAGTATCATCCTTTGAGGTATGATCATGTCATGCCTAATATTTTAGTTATTCTTGGATAAAAAGTTATTCATAAACAAGATGCAAGAGGATTTACATTAGGCACAAGGGTGCAACTACTAAACCTTTCCCATAGACACATTTGAATGGAAAAAGCATCCACATTAAGTTAAAATTTTGTGGTGCCCAACTAATTGTGCAGTCTTGAGTTAATACAAGTCTAACTTCTTATACATATATTCTAAATATAGTAGAGCTAGAGGAAAATTCATTCCTTTAGCCATCTTTATTATGAAAGCAATTACTTTTAAAGAGATCTCATCATCTGAACACCTTGAAAATATATGTCGAGCCAACCACAAATTAATTAGGTGACTAATTCATGCTTGTGATTTGGGTATTCAAGAAGGCTGCTCTTAACTCTTTTGGTGTTGAACTTTTTACAAAATAACCAACCCAATTGCAGAATTGTGCAACCTTCAAAATTTTATTTAAACTTTTGAATAGATCAAAATAAAATTTTCAAACACACTCCATTTTATCATAAAGCTTGATAGAATGAAAATTATTTTAAGAGAATACACACATCTTTCAACGTTAAGGTAAATTCCCCTCATGATGTAATCATAGTACGAGAAAAAGTGTTTCACCTTGCAAGAATAGCATGCCATGCATTATCCATCCTTTTCTCTTTATGAATGTTGAACTAGGAGGTAATCCATATAGCATTAAGCACTCCCACAGTTGAAAGAATTTTAACATAAGTAAGATTCTTCAACACCTTGTTTACTTACTCATCCCATTCATGAACAAATTGAGAATTAAAGCCAAATTTAGTAACAGAAAGTGAAAAGCAACCATACTCAAACCTAAACTTCAGAATTGATTGCCTTGGAGTACAAAGTTTTTCATAAGAAGGTGTTTCAAAGCATAGGCGATTTCAATCATATCCAATGGATTCAAAAGGATGTTCATCAACCTAATTAGGATAGACTTTTTCCTAAAAACAATATTCTCCTCTTTCTTTAATATCTTCGTCTTTTCAACTTTTAAGAACATAAAGATCTTCACTAATCTTTCCTCCTAGAATCTTTTTGGGAAGAAAAACTTCAAAAGCGATATTCTTCCTTTTATGTGTAATGGTTTTTTCTGTTGTTGCAACAAGAGTATCCTTATTAAGTTATCATAATGGATCTTCGAAATGAAACGCATTTTAACCATTGAGGAAGAAGGAAAAGGAAACATGTGGACATAGATAAAAAATGAGATAAGTACACTTATGCAATAATATTTTTATTAGTATAAATATTGATTAAAAAAACTCATCAAATAAAAGGTTTATTTTTTAAAAAGGGTTTTAAAAACAAAAGATTAAAAAAAATAGCCATGCACGCGACAAGTCCCATGCAAAGGTGATCCCTGTTCATAAGGAGACTTGCATGCGACAAGTCCTATGCGCGTAATACTTTTTCTACATGCAACAGTTGTTGAAAAAAGAGGAAAAAAGGGTTACGTACAAAGAAAAAAATATATATTTGATCATAAAAAATTTTATGCAAGTAGCAACAAATGAGAAGTGTATTTTTGATAAAAAAAAATGAAAAGGTTTAGGTCTTAACGATTTTAGATCAAAAAAAAATTTAAAACATTTCCTATAATCTTATCAAAATGAAAAAATTGAGAAAAAGAAGAAGAAAAACTTACTTGCTTAAAAGATCTAAAAAAGATTAAAACCATTGGTTTGCTTTGAATTTTGGTTTACTTTAAATTCCAAAAAGAAAATTACTTCTTTATTTTAAATTTTGCTTTACTTTAAATATTGCTTTAGTCTAAAATGAAAAAAAAAATTATGACAACTTTGTATTTACAGGGCATAGATCAAGGTTTTTACGAAAAAGATTCACTTTTCTTTTACAATTAAATAACTTTTACATTGAAAATCTTATTTTATCTTATGCATGGAAAATATATTATTATGCAACACATTACATAAGACATTAATACGTTACTATCTAAGGCATACATACCACACCGGTATTACTATCAGGTGCAAGGCATTACAAGTTCCTAAATCAATACATCAGAACTTCTCTAGCCAAAATTCTTATGTTGAGGGCAAAATGCCAAATTTGATTTTGTTTACTAACTTATTATTTCTTTGATAATTGTTTTATAGTAAGCGTAGTTTTATATGAAAAATAATGAGAACAACTAATTAAA